TCTTAGAATTTTTTTCATGAATGTATTGAGATATGTGTAATAAATTTTAATTGTAGATGAGGAGAGAATGGAGTGAGATGCAAACCCCAGCATCAAGCATCCACAGCCAAAGCCAGACAACCAACTTCCTTGAAGAGGTATGTATATATATGTACATAATACATTATTTATTTATTCATTGAAATAATACATATTATTTATAAATATTATTTATATATGGGTAAACAAAAGACTGGGAGTCAGGTGAAGAACATGGCTTATGGGGCGGCTGAAGTTGGCAAGGGAGCCGCACAAGGGGCCATCAACCTCGCCCGTGGAGCGGCGGACGCCGTGAAGAATAGCATAGGCATCAATAACAATAACAATGACGCCACCATCCCTACAACCATTCCACGGGGCGCCGCCACCTCTAACACTGCTACAATCCCAAATCTTATGGATACCAATAACATTGATTTGGAGGGATTGTCTTATCCAACCAACACTATGTCCAATCCCAATTACCACCACAATGAATCACACTAATTACACTCCCAAAAACCGTTACAATAACATATTAAAATATTTTTTATTTAATAATGAGTATCTCGATCATTCTTCTTAATTGGGATATTTTATTTCTTTGTTTTCGTATTTGTTCCGTGGTAGCCGTTCTGAGTGGTTTACCACCATTAATTTGTAACTATTTGCATTATGTATGTCTTTCACAAATAATGTTGAAGTATTTCATTGTCTGGAATATCAACATGTCATGTTATGTTATAAGTCCCTTCAAATTGTCATTTTAGAATCCCATGAATAAACGAGAAAATGCTTCACAATAGATTTTTAAACAACTTCATAACAATCTATGATACTAGAAGAGGTACACAACATAAGTTGTTCGCTAATACCACACTAAACCATAAATCGTCCACATTAAAGGCAAAATTTCAAGTCTTAGTTAGCTACTAATTTTTTATATTTTTAGCAAGGAACAATTGCAATTTTAGTCTATTATTATAGTTCGTTTCTCATTTTCGTCCAGTAATTAGTCGGATCTGAAATTAGTGCCAAAACTCTTAAATTTTAGTCAACTTAATCCTATATCGACCTCAATCACCGAAATCCTGTCAGAATTTGTTGAGCCTGAATAATTGACCGTTAACTCATCTAAGGTGGAAAGTTCCCCAAGCAAGTTAGTGAGGTAGTCACTTTTTTTTGGTGTGCCAACCAAAACATAAGAAAATTAAAATAAAATCAAAGCAAAAATAGAAAAATTATTGAGGAATAACAAATTATAAACACGTTACATTCAGATAACAATAATAACATATTCATCAGATTTGTATATACACGTGTCCAATAGCCAGGTCGATTCATGGCCCGACCCACACATTCGGGTCGGCGGGCCTCAAATGCTGGGTCCATAACTGGCTCGAGTATTTCTATGGACCGGCTCAGTGAATCGGACCTGACCCATCGGGTCACCAACCCGCCGGTTTTCAATCGGTTTCGGTGGTTACCCAATTTTTTTTTTTTACTTTTGTTGGGAGCTGTGAGGATCTCGTTATGTACAAGTCACAAATTCAATAGCAAATATAAACCTATGCTCAGCAGATCTAAAGGTCTGACGTAGAAAATTTACGGCTTAATATTTTCTTAATTTGACAGATTCGGGATGACCGAGAGCAGCACGTCACAAGGATGCCGAGATCGCGTGGTGGTGGGGGTCGACGGTCGTGTGGCTGCGGTGGAGGTCGTCGGTCGCTGGTCGTGGGTCGCGGCTCGGGCGAGGAGGTCGTTGATCGGCACGGCGGGGTCGTCAGATGTCGTGGGTCACGGCGGTGGTTGACGGGCTCACGGTGGTTGACGGTCGGTTGATGATCATGATTTCTCGGTTACCTCGGAATCTTTTACTGTGTTACTCACACACCTCTTCAACTTGATCAGTGGAACAACAAGAATAAGATAAATCTCGAACAGAAATCTAGGGAGAGAGAGAGACAGAGGGCGGGCGTGCGTTTGTATATAATAGCACGTAGGAAAAATCTGAATTCCACTCCTCTTTTCCATGAGCTTAATGATATGTATATATAGAGCTACAGTAGGGATCCTATGGAGAACGTGATAGAGCTTCTTAAGTAATGGATTAACTGTGGGCCTGACCACTCTTCCAATTACTTAAATAATACTATGGTCTACTATCGAATATTATTCACTCCATTTTCTATCCCAAGTACAATAACAATAACAATTTCCTTGAAGAGATATGTATATATATATATATATATGTACATAATACATCATTTACTTGTTTGAGATTTTCTTTTATTTTAAATATATGCCTTAACCTTTTAATTAATACAACATTTATTTTGTCAAAGGAAACACAAACCATTTCATCCAAAAACATATTACTTATATATTTTATTTATATATGGGTAAAAAAAATACTGGGAGCTAGGTGAAGTATATGTCATGGGGTGAATGAAGTCGGGAAAGAAGCAGCACAAGGGGCAATCAACCTCCCACGTGGAGTGGCAGACGCTGCGAAGGATAGCATACGCATCAATACAATAACAATAACAATGATGCCATCATCCCCACAACCATTCCACGGGGCGGCACCACCTCCAACATTGCTACAATCCCAAATCTTATGGATACCAATAACATTGATTTGGAGGGATTGTCTTATCCAACCAACACTATGTCTCATCCCAATTACCACCACAATGAGTCACACTAATTACACTTACAATAACATTTTTGATTATTTTTTATTTAAGAATGATTATCTCAATCATTCTTCTTAATTGGGATATTTTACACTTACAATAACATTTTAAATTATTTTTCCTAGTTGTTTCTTGGTAGCCATTCCGGGTGGTTTACCACCATCAATTTGTAACCATTTGCATTATGTATGTCTTTCACAAATAATGTTCAAGTATTTCATTGTTTGGAATATCGATATGACATGATATGTTATAAGTTCCTTCAAATTGTCATTTTGGAATCCCATGAATAAACGAGAAAATGCTTAACGATAGATTTTAAACAACTCCATGACAATCTATGATTATAGAAAAGGTACTCAACATAAGTTGTTCGCTAATACCATTCTAAATCATAATTTGTCCCCAATAAAGGCATAATTGCAAGTCTCATTTAGCTATTTTTTTTTTATGTTTTTAGCAAGGAACAATGGCAATTTTAGTATATTACTATAGGCCCTTTCTCATTTTCATCTAGTATTTTAGTCGAATGAAAAATTAGTGCCAAAACTCTTAAATTTAAGTAAATTTAATTCTATATCGACCTCGATCACCGGAATCCAATCAGAAATTGTTGAGCTGGAATAATTGACCATCAACTCATCTAACGTGGACAATTTCCCAAGTAAGTTAGTGAGGTGGTCACTTTTTTTTGGTGCCATGTAGTAATTGGGGTATTTTAAATTAATCAAAACAGAATAAGAATGTCGACAAATAAACACATAAGTAATAGTTGGTCCACCTTTTGGCCCATGCAGAATAAGAATGAAACATTGCTTTGGGAAATCATAATTACTGGCACTTTAAATGTAATCCATTACTTGGTACCAAGATTACTACCAAAATTGCACGTCCACCTTTGGGAGATCCGTATGCTTTTGAAATAGCTTACTATAACCATCCCGTAAAAACTCGTCCTTGTGACTTGTGATAAAAAATTGGCCATTGGGAGGAAGGCCATAACGCCAACGTGCAATTTAGAATCACTTCATTGACAAATTCATAATGGAGGTCGTGGATAAAATTTATTTCATCTCGTTAACACTTAATATATTTTAGGTTAAAGAATTTTTCTAAGCATGCTCTTAATAATTTTCTTACATGTAAAACAATTAATCAATAACTGCGCCTTCCCTTTTCGACTATCATGGCCATTTAGTTATTCTTTAAATCTATCTTGAATATTTGCAATCCTTGTCCTTGTATAACTGCACCTTCCCTTTTCGACTTGGTACTCGTTTTTCGCCGTGACTCCCACTTTTATTCTTGAACAAGCTATCGAATTATCGTGTTCGCCGAATAAGTTGTCGCCAAGAAAAATTATACGCCATCGGGTCATCGCCAAGTGGCTTTGTGTAACGTTGGGTCTGCCCGTGGTCGTGCCTCAATGCTCAACCGAGCGACATCGGTGTGCGCATACTGAACGTGCACTGCCTTGACTATCACCCAGTAGGACGGCACCTAGTCCTACGACTACCAGCGTCCGCTTGTTGGCCCCGAGGTCCACCCACTGCCATCGACCAGGCTTCATGTGCGCTGTTGAGCACGCCTTGGCTTGCTCGCGCCTGGCAGCAAGCTACTAGTGAGCGTGCCCGGATGTTCACGACACCACGTAGCAATCGATTGCGGGTTCGCAGTTGGATCGATTCGTCTCTTCGAGTTCGTCAGATCTTATTAAACAATATAAACAATTTTATAATTAAACTTATGACCCACACAGGAACTGTACATGAATGATCTAGTAAAGCAATTAAACTATGCAGTGTTCTACCGCGAATAAATTTTTACAAGCAATCACCAACCCAAAAGCTCCTCGGCATGCCCGAGGCTTATAAAAACATAAACAAATTAAAACATTCGAGCCACAATAGTTGGATTTGAAATCACCTACAAACAACTTTTGCAATACTACTCTGTTGGGATATATGAGGATCTCGTTATGTACAAGTTACGAACTCAATAGCAAACGCAAACCTATGCGCATCACATCTAAAGGTTTGGCTTAGGAAAAATTTATGGCTTAAAGTTTTT